TTCACTGCTCCGTCCACCTCCTCTCCTGGGGAGCTAGGTGCGGTGGGCGAGTCCACCTTCCCGTCAGGCTCGTCCCTCAGGCTCACCTCCTTCAGCTCCATGGCGGGCGGCTGCGGGGGGTTCTGTAGGGGAGGCAGACGGCCATCTGCCTTGCTTGGTGATGCCCCGACTGGATCTGTAAGAAACACACAGAGAGTGGGTACCTACGGTACTACAGTGGAGCTTCAAAGTTTGAGGTCAAGTTTATGGCAGTGCCAAGTCCAAGATTTTTGACTAACATCTTGGGGCCGGGAGAGAGTGGTGCACTAGGTCTTCCTAGCAGCCTGTTCTGGAACCGCAGGGGCATTTGTTTAAAATATTTCAAAGAGGGTAAGTCAAGAACTGGTTGAAAGCATTGTGAATTTTGTTATGTGGGTAGCTCAATGATGCCTGACATTAGATGACATTTATGCAATTCAGGATTTAATTTGCATAACTAATGAGAAAATTCCATAAATCTACTTCGTTCCATGATACATGTAGGACTATTTAAACTATATTGGACATTTTCATACCATTTTGCTTGAATAGCCTTCTTTGTTGAGATAAGACTTAGGGGGTGAACAACATTTTTGCAAAGGTATGAGATCACGGAACTCTAGACTGGAAATGTTTTGTACAGGGGAGAACTTTTTGTGCCAGACATATCATTAGGTTAGGACTTTTTGCAATGTTAGAGACTTCCAAGGTAAGTTCAGAGCAGCTCTTTAATCTGTACAAGCAAGGATTCTTCCTCTCGCTGTATAAGACATCAAATGGATAAATTTCTGGCTGATGAGGGGACACTGGTGTACTTATTGTGTCCTGAACAGTTACTGTTTTATACTTCTGTTTAACATGTTGTTGAGCCTTCACAAACCACATGGGTGGTACAGGTTACCATTCAAAACAACTTAATGTTCCTTTGAAGTAAATGATTGCACCTCTTCTATTTTCCACCAGGCCACACTGACTCAATCTTATAGATGACATCCTTGGAAAAGCCAAATGAGGTATGCACTAAAAAAATGGGGTATTTCTTTTATATTTTCACAACTTACACTAAGGAGGTAAAATTTCATTTTTTAAACTGGAGGAAATCATGACATGAGGATGTCATCCAAAAATCAAGTTAAGAGTGGCCTAAGTTGGTTTGTTGCCCATTGTACAGATCCTCACCTAGTGGAGCGGCTGTCTTAGGAGCAGGGTTGGCGTCCTCAATGCTTTTTGCCTTCTTTCCTACAAGGGGAAAAAAAAAATCAGCATGTGATTCAGACAGGCCAAGCCAGAAAACAATGCAGGCTCGTTCTCACTGGAATGTACAGAATAGCGATTTTTAGGGTCGAAAAATAGATGAACTGATTTTTCATGCATACCTACATGTACATACTGTACCTTATTTCTTACCATCTGAATTTACAACAGGACTCAAAATTTATTTTTGGGAATAAGTGCACCCGAGCACCCAACCTAAAAAATGAGGCAGTAATCCAAGAACCTGCAGAATGTGTGAAACAGCACTGTGGTACCCAGACCGAGTGATGACATGGAGAATGGTGAGGTAAGCTGTAATGCTACATGTACACTTCAAAACACAAGCACAAGATACAGAGAAGTGGAAAACATACAAGGTTGTGTGTAAGGGACATCATCAGATGTGAGCACAGACAACATGGGTAAAGTACAATTGTGATACCAGACCGATCACAAGGTGCTATGCTATGAAAGGATAATCATAAATTTAAGAAATACAAATTAAAGTTATTGACAACATACATGTAGAGATAAAAGCAGCAGATCTGACAAAGAATAAGAGATGCATTCATTTTTTCCATTTGATGAATTGAAAGGACCTACAGTTTTATGTGGAAATAATGCCAACATGTAGGGGAGGAGATATCACAATTTAGTTCCAGAGTGGTGATACATGTATGTGGTGGTCATGGTATGATAAAAGAGGATTAGAGTAAATGATACTTCATCAAGCGTCAAGTCATGCCAAAAATTTTAACATGAAAAATCAAACACACCCAGGTAGGCAGCAGGTTGGGCAGGGTACAACTTACAAGGGAAAAATAAAGACGACAGGTTTTTCTTCAGTCTTGAACGCACGTTTAGTGTCAGATTATGCCTTCTGTCACTTGCTGTCTGTTCTCTCTCCATGTGAGATGTCTTATATCATTAAATCAATGTTTTTGGCTTTACGTCTAAGGCAGGCTTTTCTATCATGGGACCCCAAAGTACTTACATGTATGATCATACCACCAAAAAAACTGTTCAATGTGACACGTACACTCTCACTGAGTCTAGTATGACAAAATGGGACAATGTATGTTCAAGCAAAACCTTAATCAAGAATAATCTATCCAAATATACAGAAAAACATCTCTGGGCTTTCAACCCAGGAGCAGTCTCTGCAAGATTAATACATCTGGAATTATATTGATGTGAAAATATAATTGGCTTGGACTAGTGATTTAAAAATTAACTTCGAGGTAGACACAAATGAAGATAAAGAGAAGGAAGGGAAATAAAAGAAGTTGTTGCGACTACAATTTACTGTCCAGTAAAATCCTTCAAATTTGATAAAGGAACATTAGAACCTGGTGCTTGATTTACATGAAAGTTACAGTAACAGTAATCTATAAACTCTACTTCCAGTGGTCCAATTATTAGGTAAGAGCAGAGCTGATTTCACCAAATAAATTGTAATGTCATACCACAGAGCAAGTCGTAGTCTGGACGAATGGGAAATAACACTAGCAAGGTAATTATTCAAAGCTATTTGTGGGGAAACACAAGTCACACTGGGCACATTACAACACCACTGACAGCCCCAGTCTGCTCTGCTGTCCACATACCCTTCCATGCCATCTTGATATCATTTTGGGTGATTTCAGGAGGTTTTGGTACTGATGAAACAGGGTTTGTCTCTGGCTCCATCCATGCTGACGCAGGAGGCACAGGCAGCAAATAGAAAGACATGGCACACTCAGGTCTCAAGTTTAAAGGTCCCAGTGGAGGATGCTGTGCTTGGTAGTCTACACCACTTGCAAAGTCACTATTTCATTGAGATCATTTTTTGGAAGAAAATCGGAAATCTTTCTTGAATTTTTCAATTTCTTCTATATGTATTTCTTTCATTTCTTTTCCTAAATGATGCTGTACCATTTACTTAAATATTCATCTCCAAAGACAAAGAATGTAAATGGATGTATTTAGTGCATATTCTGATGAAAAACTATTACAAGGGACCTTTAGACTTGTCAAGACATAGTAGGTACAGATTGGTTAAACCAGTGAAATGCTATCAGTAACTCTTGATGGTTTTTCTCAAACACTGTAACAGTTAGTATTTAACACATGTGTATGGAACATATATATAGAGGATGAAAGAGAAGTGGACAAACACTGACAAGTACATTGGACAATAACACTAATGGGTGCAGATCACCATAGTGCTGCTTAGTTATGCCATGGATGCTGAATTATTGTCATTTGTCAAATGAATGACATGAAAACACAGACATGCATTTCTTCTCAATTCCACTACATTTTCCATAATTCAACAATGTCAACCAAATTAATGTCAGAATCTTCCACAAGCAGAAACGCTTAATAGAAAATGAGTGACTGTGCAAAAGTCACCAAAGCTTAGTTATCATTCAGCAGGATAATTTGTCCTAAACTTTACCTCTTACCTCTGTCAAGTGTTTTCATCCCCATAGCTAAAATTCATTCCTTATTTTGTGCATTTTCTGTTTAATTCCTTTAAACCATGGAAGACAACAGATGCTGCCTTGACAAACAAGTGCTGTATTTCTAGTTCCTGATGACTTTTAAATTAACAGATCTATTTTACATTAGGCCACACAATTTGTTGGTTCTTGGATTTTTTTGGAAAAAAATGAAGCTACAGGGCAAAAAAAAAATGAAAACAGGCCTAGGCATCCTTTTATAGCCCTAAATGCTTCGATTGGAGCCATGAAGTCAACACAAAAGGCTGGGATAAAATTAAAACCATGAATTTTGAACTTTTAACCAAACCACTTCATTAAAATAAAAAAAAAATTTAAGATTCAAAAACTGTAACAACTACGAAGAAAAGTACTTTCCTCAACTGTTGAGAGTGAAATATAAGCATTTTTAGTTGATTCAGAACCAGAATCTTTTTTTTTGCAAATCAGAAAAAAATGAAGAGGCGAATTCGAGAACCAACAAATTAAATTGGTGTGGCCTTAACATGTAATAACCAGAACACCAGTTGATATGCACATAACATCCTATAGGCAGAAATGTGAAAAACAGCTTACTGTCGTCCTTGCCTCCGGCAGGTTTCTCAGCTGCAGTGGCGCCCAGTAGTGCGAAGATGATCCCACTCTGTGAGCTCAAGCCCACCGCTGTCACCACCATCTTGCCACTGCCCTCCATCACATGGGTGCCTGACAACATACATTATCCTTTTCTTATTACCTTCGCCAAGAAGGTTATGTTTTCAGTAGCGTTTGTGTGTGTGTGTGTTTGTGTGTGTGTGTGTGTGGTTTAGCAAGATAACTCAAGAAGCAGTGGATGGATTGGGATGAAACTTGGTACAATGTAGGTGGGTAGGTCTTCATGAGACCTAGAAATGATTAGATTTTGGGCCCCCTGGCGGCTTTCCTAGGTACTGCAGCAGAACTTCCAGTTTTGATATCTCGTGATCTGGACATGCTAGGGTCACGAATTTTGGGTGGCAGATAGCTCTTGGGAGAGGGAAGAAGTAACATGAGTTTGGGTCCCCTAGCGGCTTGTTCTAAAACTGCAGGAGCATTTGTTGGAAAATATTTATGCAAATCAGGAGCTAATTTGCATAATTATCGAGGAATTTCTATAAATCTGCTTTTTTCGATAATAGAACTATGAAACACTTGTGACATCTACTTGAGAACGAGAAAAAAACATCTGAGGATATAGATTATGTAAATGAGGACCAAATTTGCATAATTAATTAAGGGTTAATGACCCGCCCCGAGGTGAATATGGTGTGATAAAGCCTTGTCAGTTACTATAACCACAGAATAAAGCCACCAAGTGAGCTATTATCATATAGCTTACACGATAGCCTATCCAAACTGATGCAGTAAGTGACACAATGCACATGCTGAATAGAACATAGAACATAGTTCCATCTGGAGTCACCTGAGGTCACTGGGTAGAGTTCACCTTCTATCTGGGTCACAGGCAGGGAACAGGTGTTCTTATGGGAGTCACCCGAGGTCATTGGAATACAACTTAGTTACCTCCATGAAAAATGGAGGTATTGTTTTTGGCGTGTCTGTCTGTATGTATGTCTGTGTGTGTGTCTGTGTGTGTGTCTGTGTGTGTTTCCGCAACTTTGTAGTCAGCATAACTTCAGAACGCCTTTATCGATTGTGATGATATTTGGTATGATGGTAAGTCTTGGAAAGACAAAGGTCAAGTATGGGCCTCCTGGTGGATGACCTTGGTACTGCAGCAGAACTTTTGTCCTGAACAAGCTATGGTCTTGACTTTTTGGTGACAGATAGCTTCTTTTGTCAGGAATAAGTGGCATAAGTTTGGTCCCCCTAGCAGCTTGTTCTGGAACTGCAGGTTAGTTTCTGGTAAAAACTTTCAAAGCCAATAAGTCCAGATTGGAACAACGTATTTTCATCATTTTTGGTGTGTAGGTACCTGAGAGACAGTTGTACATGATTAAATGCAAATTATGACCTAATTTGCATAATTAATGAGGAAATTCTATAATTACAGTGTTTCATATAATGGTACTGCTATACATGTAATCTATTTAATCTGTGGCAGGCCGAACATCAACAGATACCACTTATGCAAATGATGACCTAATTTGCATAATTAATGTGAAAATTCTGTGAATCCTTATTGGTGAATGATGGGAATTTTTATACCTCGTAACATGTGTAAGTTACTTAAAGGTTTGCATCGCTATGCATATATTATGTTAATGTAGAGGTTATTTGCATAATTAATGAGGACAAAGCAAGCCCATATTTCATGGAGGTATGAGATCTCGGACCTCTTGTTTATTTTTGGATTTTTTAGAACTAGAGCCGTGTTCTATTGGGTCACCTGAGGTCATATGCGAGTGATTATTGGGTTTGTTTAATGTATGGATTGGGATGAATAAATACCCAATTTTGACTCTATTTGTGACATTACGGCGTCATAAGGAATGTGGAATGGTTGATTGGTCAACGTCACCCGGCTATATGATAATAATTAATAAATAATAAATATTTTTATAATTTCATAGTTGTAACTGCTGGGAATTTCATGTTTGCCACATTTGGAAGTTAAGTGAAGGTGAACATCAATAAACATAATTTATTCAAATGAAGACCTCATTTGCATAATTTATGAGGAAGTGCTATAATAGCCTTTTTGTTAAGATAAGGTTATTTGGTTGAGAATATGATCAACTGATATAATCCATGCAACTGAGGCTCTTATTTACAAAATCAATTATTAAAATTGTATAATTCGTCAACTGCAAGGGTTAACATCATTTGGTGAAGGTATGAGATCGCGGAACTCTTGACAGTATTTAGAGTCCAACTCATGTACTACATGTAACTCTGTATATTGATCACCTAGCCATAGTGGTTACTTTTTGTCAGGCATGGACTAGCATGATTACATGTATAAAAAAGAGTATGTACAGTCAAACCTGTACTAGCGGTCACCTTTGTATAGTGGTCACTCGGCCATGGCGGTCAGTTTTTGCCGGTCCCTTGAATTTTTCCCATTGACGTAAGCATTAAGAATCGTGTCTATAGCGGTCACTGTTCAACGCGGTCAGCGGTCACCCCATTCCGGTCCCGCCAGCATGCCAACACCGCCGATAGCGGTCGCGGCTGGCCGTAACCCTCTAAGCACCACGGCCGTAACACCACCCCACCTCGGGCTACGACCGTTATGAGCCTTGTGATAATTTTCCGATCGCTACATTACTAAAATGTGAACTGAAAATTAAACTCCATATGTGTATGAAATAAAGGAAAACTGGCTTTTGACACAAAGTTTCTGCGGTCGCGGGTGTCTTTGATATCTGTGTTTTCCCAAACACCAGTGCCGTGCGTGCCGCATGTAGCTTTCAATGGACTCGGCCGCTCGGCAAAGATTACGGCAATTATCTTTACAAAAAAACTTAAGAATATCCATATTTGGTTTCTCGATTCCTTGAAATGCGTAGATATGTGCATAGCTTCCGTTTTTCATGGGCTTAATTAAGAAATTTGGCTCGAAAATGCGTTTTGTATTTTTCCAAGATGGCGCATGTTAGCTGCAGAGGGAGGTCAATTGGGGTCATCGGAAGACTCCACTGTTATGGAGGTAGATACACCGAGTTTTATTTAACTTCATTAGCGTCAAATGATGTAATTACATTATGAAAACATTTGAATTACATTACTACAAGTAATTTTAGATGTAAATTTAACACTGTAGTGGATATTTTAGAAAAGATATAAGTCTGAAAGGAGAAAATTTTCTGTTGACTACCACATTGGCATAATGGTAGAGGCAGACAACCCACGCGGGGAGAAACCCAAGCCGTAAACAAAGGAGAGTTTTCGCTAAGGGTTCATGTTCAAAAACGACCAAAAACGGAAAGTAACTGGCAACTGACGAACAATTATTTTGCTGTTAACTAAATAGACAGCATCTTGGAACAAAATGACTTATTTACGTGGTTGGAATTCGCTGTGGCGTATGTCGGTCGCGCGAAGCTAGTGTTCACCAAAGAACAAAAACATGGCGATGTCGTTCTCTTCCACTTTTCGACTAACAACTACTAGTAACGTGGCAATTGCGGAGAAACGATGGCGAAAGCGGAAAGACAGACGCCGAACTTATTCCAAAAGGTGGAAGTGATCCGACTGGCAGAGAGAGTGAGCTTGAAGAAATCGTCGAAAGCTGAGCTTAGATTAAATGATTTTGCAGTCGATAGAAATTTGTTTGGAGTTGAAAGTTTGTTGCTTGATTTGCTTTCTTTTCTTTAGCCACATGTAGTACTAGTATGTACACAAGAACAGTACTGTAAATGACAACCAGTGATTTTGTATGTTTTAATGTGAATGGTTTCATTGTCCCAGAATACTAGTAGATGAACTGAATATGTATCTTTGATGTCAAGTTAATGTTTCCATGCTTCTGTATTTCTTTCTTTTTTTTCAAGCAAGTACAAAATAAAGTACAACTAAAGCAAAAGAACAACAAATTATTGAACTAAGACATGTACATATAAAAGGGTACATGTATGTATTGCAAATGTATGTATTCATATGTTTCAGAATAAAGACATCACTGTTGGTACTCAAAGCATGTGTCCCCCTTTTTTTTGGGGGGGGGGGGTCAACTAACCGGCTGTTTCTCTATAGTGGTCACCTGGCCATAGTGGTCAAATTTGGCCAGTCCCTTGAGTGACCACTATAGCCAGGTTTGACTGTAGTTTGCTGGGAACTGCTTTCGTTTTGATTTTGGTAGGGTTTCCGTAGGCAAGGGATTGGGATATAAACTTTTGGGATGCTGGTTTTCTCAACACTACGGCCAATGTGCCTTGGAATACATTCCTAATTTGAATGATATTTTTCAAAGTATTTTTCTACATGCTTCTACAAAATGTGCCTATACCTTCCTTCACTTCTACCAAGGAGTTTATGAAACTTTTTAACCAGATAACATTTGTATAGGTTAAACCTGGCATTCAAATTCTAACTACATGTGTAGACTGCAGCTGCAAGCTTGGCTTCCGAGCATTGCATATCTCAAGGCCCGATTCACACGTGCGTCGTTTTTATGTGTCGGCCGTTGTTCGACACGTGTGTGCGCGCGGCGCGCGAACTGTACAACACATTTTTCAATCGTGTAAACAGGCCCGCCAGCAGTCAAGGCAAACTGGCTGGTTTCTCCATGATTTCTCATTAGTTATCATCAATAATCAAAAATGATGTGGTCACCATGGGCAGGTATCAGGCCTCGAGCGGACCCAACTCAAGGCGGTCGCGTTGACCAGGTGGTCACCTTGGACAGGTTGCTTAACGATTGCGTCAATGGGGAAAATTTTGGGGACCGAGAAAAAGTGGTCACCATGGCCAGGTGGCCTGCTTGAAAAGGTGGTCACCTTGGCAGGTTTGACTGTATATCAAAACACGTAGAAGCGTCCTCTTATCTTTCATGCACAAATTTAAAAAAAATTAATTGGCTGCATCGTACACGTAGCTTTCATTGCTGTTTCATTAAAAAAAGTTCTTGTCGATTGTAAAATGATCACTCATCTGTTGTCTCCAGTAGAATGTCAATGGCAGTGTTATCATAGCGTGCCAAAAATCGGCGTTGAAAGTCAGAAAATCCCTGGAAAAATAAACTTGCACTACACATTTTCTCCTGCTATACAAAACCAGCCACCACGTTTCCATGAATATGTAAGTAGCAGCACACGTTCTAAGCTGATTGGTTGACCACCGAATCCAAGTCGGAAGCCAAGACACCTTGCATTCACACTCATGATTTCGTCAGATCCGAATCCGCCGCAAGTGTCTAAAACTACCTCCTTGAGGTGGATTATTTTGGAACCGATATAATATGTATTTAGTGATTTGGAGTGTTCACACTCCAAAAAATTAACTTGATAGACAATTTTTATTTTGAATCGTGTGTCAACGGGGTCAAAGGCATGGCCGTGATTTTCCTGAAGTTTCTTCTCCTCCTCCTGCCATTTCGATAGATATATTCAATTTCTTCATTCTTTGGCCAAATGACTTGAATTTGGTAAGCATGTAGAGTGTGCAAATACAACCAGATGTTTTTATTTATTTTCAAACAGGCCTTTAAATACAACTTTTTGGTTATTTTCAGACAAAAATGGCCTTTTTTGGGCTCTGGAACTCTGGTGCTAAAATAACGATCCAGCAGCAAGCACAAGAAATTCAGACAAATGCCCTGAGAGCCCTATGAACACATTTGGAATGCACTGCTAAAACATTATGTACTTTGGGACTTTTGCATTCCTGCATGTATTTCTATTGGCTGATAAGTTTAATTACCTGACAAGAGGTGGAGATCCCTGGATTCGCCTTTCTTCACATGGTCGGACTCTCCGGTTAGTGAACTCTCATCCACTTTCAGGTCATTGGACTGTACCACCAGGCCATCCGCAGGTAACAAGTCACCTACAACATGGAATTTGTGCTTTAATAATACATAACTTCCATCCTTAACTGCAAAACTGTAAGTTATAATTTGTAACCATAATAAACTGAGAGACCTTTATTGTAGCTACATGTACATGTACATGTACATGTACATGTATATAGCCAAGCAAGCCGTTACACGTATCAACCCATTTTTATCAACCAGAATATTTGTAGGAATAAAACTGCCAAATTTGGTAATATGAACCTCTCAGTAAACATGATACTAAACATTTATATAATTATTATACATAAAACATACTTAACATGTCATGACACAAGGCATACTCATACCAGTATCAGTGCCATCAATATCAATATCTGTCTTGCAAAAAAGAAACTGTGCAGACAGAATCTGGACAAATTTATTATTTTAATTATTTTTCCTTGGTTACAATGCACAATCATCATTAAAATTGCAATACCTGTTGACGAGGCATGTAACAGCAGAACCCTCTCCTGCACATCTTTCTAAACATCAAATGGCTTATCTTGAATTTGCGGATGTCTATGAAAATATTACTTTCCGCTTATTTTTTTTCTGTGGATCTCAAGCATCAAAATTCCATCCTGGGATGACAAAGACTCACCGTACTTGACTTGACAGACGTCACCGACAACTATTTCTCCTACAGGGATCTGGACTACTTCTCCACTCCTGATGACAGCAAATTTATGCTCGCCCTCAATTTTGCTCTGCAGCCCTCTGAACTTCCTTTCTTTGGACCAGTCATTGAATGCTGTTACAAAAACGACTACTGCTACAGAAACAAGAATGGCCACGCCCTCAATCCATCCGGCCTTCTCCTCAGACTCATCTCCACCACCCACTGCAAATGAAAAGATAATGCTCATGATAATGTAACATGGTCAACTCTACCCTGGCGTTCAAAATTGCAATACTGAAATAAAAACTACAATGTCCAGGCTTGTGGATGCGCCTGGATTAGGCACACATGTACCCAGAATTTTGAGAGTGCAACTTCAAAAAAATCACAGTCATGTTGTAGGGTGTCCAAGCCCCACTCGTTGACTGAACCCCACACATGCACCCACAGAAGAAACAAGCTATCAAAAAAACAAATTGCGAGCAATGCTACTGTATACACTCAGCAACTTTTGGGATTTTTCAGAGACCAATGACAGAACATCGACGATACTTCGTTAACATCGAGTTTACGATGAAGATCGTGAAAATTATTTTTCTCAGTCCTAATTGGTTGTTCAGATAATCAAATTTTGGTCCGCAGGTCAAACAGACTGCCTGCAGATTGCCTTTGTGTAACTGCAGTTACGGGAGCATGGTATATTCCATATATGCAAATATAATTCATAAATATATGCAAGATCTATGCATATATCCAAAAAATTGGCATACATGCATATGCGTACATTACTTACATTAAACCCACACAACTTGTAAACTCTTGTATGCCCTACATGTATGTATCATCGGCCATTAATCCTACATATCTTGCCCACCGGGTTGTGTACATTTTGTGTAGATGTCGGTGTTACCAGTGTTACAGGGTTTGTTATGATGGATACTGGTGAAGAATATTATTCGAAATAAAATTACTGGACGGTATCTGGACACAGAACATGTGCCAAGATTTATATCCAACACTTAACACAACCTGGAACCAAGGAGGTGAACCTCCTTGCAGGAACGCTAAATCAAATTTACATGTAATACCAACAAATACACATAACCAACAACTTAATAATATATATAAAAATACAATAAACAACCTAGAGGTACAAAATCTCAGATTTTTCTTGTTTAAAACCTGATCTATCTCATACATTGTACATATCATTGCGAGTTGTTGGTCACTGGAATTGGCAGAATGTTATATACACCTCCTATGATTCTAGTAGATTTGAAAAATCTCCCACAAACCCCCTCAAGAAGCTTGCATGTGCACAAGTGGCGTGAACAAGCCGAAACTTGATGACACAACCAAAGCACATCGCATTTCGTAGCGGCCTTTGTAATGATAATATTGATATTGATAAAAATGTAGCCAAGCCTTTTCTGAAGACAACATGGTGGTTGCCCAGTTACTGGATTATATGTAAAAGTTTCTTTGTTAATCTGTTGTGAAAGTTTACAAATCTGGTTGATTTTGTTTTGATAAAAATGTGGTCTTTCAGAAAATAACACCAAATTAACCTCTGATAGTTTTTTCTACTAACCACGACATGTCAAAAGTCAGTACTACTCACATTTGTCCTGAATATCCTTGGATGGTTTGTAGAATGACAAGCCCAGTGAAATAATGGCTGCGATCTCCAGAATAATCAGTGTAGTATCCTGCAGAGCTTCCCAGACTAACTGCAAGAATGTCTTTGGTGGTTTCGGTGGGATAATGTTTGAGCCATAAACTTGTCTTCGTCGCTCAAACTCCTTTGGATTGTTCTCCAGACCTAGAATGGTGGAAGGAAAAGGTAACTTTTTTTCAGAATGTTAAAAAAACATCATAAGTGACAATTGACAATTTTGCAATTCAAAATTTGCACACTGCTGGCATAATACCATATTTCCTCCAATTGTGTATGCATCTCCTATAAGGTACACACAGTCACCTGATTTGGGGCCAACCGCAGACATGATCAAGGAAAACATTCATGGGGAAAACCACTTTTAAGTACGAGCCACAGGTGTCCAGCATTTCGGTGGCTTGCCAGGAAGTTAACATCATCACTAAGTCTTGTAGAATTTCTCTCCACATAAATATTTGTTCTGCAGTTTGTAGGTACTAGTATTTTTATATTAGAAACTTCAAACATTTCCAACTACAGGTTACCACCAATAATAATTATGCAATATGGATGTCAAACTAAAAATTTCAGAAATAATCAAAGTACACTGCATTGGATAAGTTTTCGCATTAAAGCAGCACTAGAAAATGAAAAAAATTATGACGTCCATGTTCTCATCACAACATAATCATACAGTCATGTAATATCAAATGTTAAGTCAATCTGGATAGGTTTTTGCACTCCAGAATGATTTTCTCTGATCCCGATCCAAAAGTAATCCACCTCGAGGAGGTAGTTCAAGACACATGCGTACGCAATTGGAAGAAATATGGTAGTTAACAACTGCGACAAATGCATAACTGCTTACAATCCTGTTTGGCTCACATGTGGATCTCATTCTAGACTAGTGCAGAACCAGTGTCTGGTAGGTTTTCCAGGTCAGGGTATTCTATCTGCTCACTCATGGCGGCGGTGAAATCAAATTCAACTCTAATCTGGACGTACTTGTAACAACTTGACTGCCCCTGGCCCCAATCCTCGTGTCATCCATACCTTATAATTGTGGTATAGTTATGCACATGTACATTTGAATGTTCAAAATTTGCGCCTTAATCAACAAAACAGTTATCTGATGGCATGCTTCCCTCACAAATTGCTTTGTATTCCTCCATACAGCAATGACTTTTTTTCAGTTACTGTTACTTATAGGTACATATTATTTATAGGAGTGTGTGTGAAGGATTTGTGAAGGATGGCCTAAGTTGTGGTTAGGCCCAGAAAAAAATGTGTTTTCATGATATAGTCACAAAAAAAAAGGGGATTCACAACGGGACACCTACTGGGGCCCCTGCTTGTTTTCCAATAATGTTACTTCAGAATACCAGTGATACCAGCAGCAAGTGAACATGTGATTCATAAAACAGCTTTGTGATTTATCCATGTGTCAAATGTGAAGCTATTTCTAGCAGAAAATTATGTTGTGTAACTTGTCAACAAGGAAGTCAAAAGGGCAACAAAAATGACGTCTCACGCTCGCAGCAGTGCCCTGCCTGTTGAGGATTTACTGTACATGTATGTGCAGCCATCTGACTCCCAACACAAACCAAGGTTAACCTCCATGCACGAACCAAGGAGCTTATTCTCTAAAGTAGACTATTGCGCATTGACACATAACATGCAGACTGATGGAGTTACGAAGTCATGCATTCCATTCATTAACTTTTATGCTGTTATAGTGTTAAAGACGACATGCACATATGCACTCATGCCTTGAAATTCATCAGGTGTCCCAAAGGATAAAGACCATAGAAATTTATGTCCATACTACCAACATTCCCACTACAAATTACTAGTTGTGATCACATCACAAAAATGAGACAAAAACAAATAGACTTTCATTCTTCTTTGCTGTTTCATTCATCAAAAGTTCTCGTCGGTTGTAAGATCATTGGTTGTTGATCATATTAGTGTTCTAAAAATCAGCGTCAAACATATCTTAAGAAAATCCCAGTAAAAAAAAGTTGCAAAACGTATTTCTTGCTTGATTTAGGTAACCAAGCATCAAGGCCACATGACTGTTATTGCGCTCTAATACCAGGAAGTAGACAACAAAAACCAGGTCATCAAAATATGTGAAGAAGATCGAAGGGACTATCATACATGTAGTACTACATAGAATGATGTAGCCATATCTGACAAATCTGGATCCAAAACTACAGAGAAAATGTCATATTTTGAAGATTCCTTCTTCGTCCAGTCAAAAGTAATTCCTAACTGGAACTTGAAATCTCTGAATTTTTAACTGTAGAGCAGGTCTAGTGGGTCCCAATGTCGTGGCACACCCCAGGTTCCTTTGGGTCTCAATTAAATTCTGCACGCCCTCAACACTAGCGACTTCGTGTTTTAGGAAATAATTTGAAAGCAAAAGAACTGTGTACGGGCATGAAGGATATCTTTCTAGCTACAAGGAAAACAGAATTCCATTTTCTTCTTTCTATATAACTTGTCTCAAGTTCTAGTAAATTTTAGGGGGAAAATTTGATTTTCCAATTTGGGATTAAACCTATCACCCACAATAAAGACACCAATATGACTGATATTGTAGGAAAGATAACAACCTTGATAATATATTGTATATTCAATAAAATTTTAAAGAAAATCCTGAGATTTTCACAATACCCAATTGTGCAAGGGCATAGCAACAGTGCCCACAGAACTGTTCACTCACTCACTATCCAGGATTTGATTATTCTGCTGCTGCTGTCCCTGCCACATGCCCACCTACAGTAGTACTGTTACAGTGTAAAACTGGTGTGTGACAGCTCTACCCACCTACAGTAGTACTGTTACAGTGTAAAAACTGGTGTGTGACAGCTCTACCCACCTACAGTAGTACTGTTCCAGTGTAAAACTGGACAGCTCTACCCACCTACAGTAGTACTGTTCCAGTGTAAAACTGACAGCTCTACCCACCTACAGTAGGAGACGTCCTGAGACGTTTGCATATCTCTGTGACACTTCCATACTTCTGTTCAATCTCTGCGATACCGTCTGTCCCGCGGACTTCCATCAGCTCCTTCAGGTCATCCAGCGGGATCCCGTAGTCGCTCATGTCCGTGCCGCGGTACGGCAGCGCCTGGTCCACCTCATCCGGCTCACCCATGATGGCTGCCGGCGAGCTTCACAACTGCAGCAGATGGAACAAAAACAATGGTGAGGCTCTATTCTACATTAATGAGAATCGAGAGAACGCTATCTTAGGCAAAAACCTAACGAATAAAAACTGCGTACATCAACTTTCTTTCTGTGTGTAATATGGCCTTCCTTCACGTTATACAAATAATCACCTAATTTGCATAATTTTTTTGCATAACTAATGTAAAAATTCTATGATTCCTTCATGGTGAATGATAAACCTTGCAACAAGTTACTTAAAAGTTAACATCACTATGCATATATTACATTAATCATATTAATGTTGAGGTCACTTGCATGATTAATGAGGACAATGTAGAAATGAAATATTGCCAAGGATAGAATTTCACTGGCAAAATATTGTAATTTGAGTTTAATCAAAACCATAAAAATTAGAGATAATAGCAGTTTGCCCCACCAAGGAGGTTACAAAATGAAACCCACCAAGGATTGAGGTTCAAAATAAACTCCTTTGTCCATCCCTTCCCCTCAATGGAAAAATACTGGGAAGCATTACAATCTCTTAGTTAAACAAACAAAACTGGTCATGATCACTACTTCTACACAGCTTGCAGTAGAAATGTCAATATTGCATGTTACAGTGGATGCCGCTTTTTTGCAAAGCCAATTTGCCAGCAAAGTTTTTCAATTACCCGGCCTTTCCGATTAAGAGACTCTGAGGTTCCAACTCTCGGACTTCATTGAAACTATGGGGGTGGGGGTGGACAGGGAATCGAACACAAATAACAACACAAAGAAGACAAACACGAGTCATATTTACTGTACGCATTTAAAACAGTGAACTTTATTAAGATCGGTAAATTCACTTTGTAATTTTTTTTGTTTACGTATTTTGTTTTGTTTTCCAAGACTGGAAAAACACTGTGATACGTTAGCTATCATGTGCTCTCGGCAGGCTCTACTCGAACATAATAAACACTGTAGCTACGTTTGCTACATACAAAACTAGAGTTCCACGATCTCATACCTTCGCCAAATGATGTTAATCTTTATGACTGACAAAGTAAAGATTATCCCTCCTGATAATGCAAATAGGATCCTCATTTGCATGAATTATATCAGTTGATCATATTCTCCATCAAAAGACAGCCTTATTTTAACCAAGAAAGCCATTCTATCATTCCCTCATAAATTATGCAAATAACTTAAGGTCCTTATTTGAATAAGTTATGTTTAATGATGTTCACCTTCACTTAACTTTCAAATACCCCAAGTATGAAATTCCAGTCAGTTAATTCCATTATGGAATTATAACATTTTCTCATTAATTATGCAAATTAAGTGTTAATTTACATAATCAATATCTGCCTGTGTTTCTCTTGTTCTCAATGGACCGTTCAAGATCGAACGCTTCGAATCCTATTTCGAATCCCTGTTATATTTCGAACACCTCCGTCAAAGTCAGCGCGGGAAATCTAAAAGCAGCAAACTGAGTTGATGTCTGCTTGATAAAGACTCCTTGTTTTACATGTGAAACTGAATTTGTCACATTGCATGCACTTTCAAGTTGATTAAGGACGTTCTGTTATTCTTCCATTTGTTCATAAGCTATCATTATTGTTTATGTCCGTGTTTGCGTGCTTATTTTTCTACTTGTACCACAAATCCCTTTATAAGTTGCGCCCTCCCTCATGAGTGCCCCGTGAGTTTTTATTTCCCATTTGGTTCTTTCCCCGAGCTTGTATGCAGCTGTGATGTATGCAGCAAATGCCATGGAAAACCTGTTACAGATAAACGTACTCTGTTTCACACATGCATCGGCTGTTAGTCAGCAACCAGGCACTCTTGTCCACCTACCGTATTATGTTATGCGGCCAATCCCGCGTCTGTATTGAGCGAAAACAATTTGCTCTCACTGAAACTACCTCTGTCCCCTCCTAAAATAATTCTACTCTGCGGATGTACCGTTCAACATTTATAGCTTAACCATTTTTTTGTCTCCTCGCTGCCGAAAAATCGACCGTAAAGTTGGGCTGCAAATCCGACATTCTGGCGGCGGCAGTTGGTACGACCCTTCCCACGCTGATTTTGACGGAGGTGTTCAAGTTGCTAGGGCGTTGCTAAGGGGGGCGTGGCTTATGGAACGGTCCATTACATATGTCACAAGCTTAAATAGTCCTATAATGTAATGCAGCTGATTTATAGAATTTCCTCATAAATTATGCAAATTACATCCAGATTTGCATACTTGTCGCATAATTATGTCAAGCGTCACTTAAGCTACCTACATACTAAAAATCACAACGATCCGTCAACCTGTTCTTGAGTTATCCTCTTTTGAATGTTTTTAAAGAAATGCCCCTGCAGTTCCAGAGCAAGCTGATAGGGGGCCCAAACCTACGTCACTTCTTTCCTAGCATAAGAGCTACCTACCATCCAAATTTCGTGACCCTAGCACCTCCAGATCATGACATATCAAAACCGTAAGTTCCGCTACAGTACCACAACAAGCCGCCAGGGGGCCCAAAATCTAATCATTTCTAGGTCTCATCAAGAGCTACCCACCTACCAAATATGAAGACAATCCATTAAAGCCTTCTCGAGTTATCGTGTTTACAGACACACAGACAGACAGACAGACACACAGACAGATACACGCGAACGCCTCTGAAAACCTTCTTTGCAAAGGTAACAAGCAACAAATACATGCACAATCATCACGAAAGTAGCAAGGAGGGACCTAGGAAAAAAATGTGTCTCGGTTTCCCGACTGACCCTAGCAAAACCCCTAACCTTTTTTTTATTAACCAATGGTAAGGCAATAAAATCGTCAACATGAATTTCAAACCCTCTGAAGCGTCATTTAGCACATTTTCAGAATCATCTTTTTCTTCAGTAAAATGGGTGAAATATTTGAACACAAGAAAACAGCTGGACAGGTCTTTGTACTTGCTGGATCATTTTAGATGAAATCTAGAAAAAAAAATCTGTACCTCCCAAACCTTAGTTTTTCATAACGGAAACTGGAAACATAACTCTAATTTTCCTAGGCCAGAGCTGTGATCTGTCAAAATAAATATTCCAGCTCAAGTCCCATGACACGTACAAGGACAACCTACAAATTAGTACAATCATCATCATTGACTTCTTACTATCTACATACAGATTGATGGAAGCAAGGGTGATATCTGAAACTGTCCATCATTTTGGTCACTTACAAGATCATTTTCAATATACATGATATACGCTGTACAATTAGAACTATTTAAGAACTATTTATCATCATATCCCACCTCAGATTTGATTCAACAAAATTTCGTTACATTCATGTACCAATATAAATTATGTTCTTACCATATACAGAACTGGTATTTATGACTAAACCCTAATACTGACGTGTATATCATTAACCATTTCCATGTACTGCAACAGCTCGCCAACCGACCTGGACATGATTCATCTTTTACTTTAAAAATTTGCAATTTCTACAGTATTCAGCTCCAAGGATGTGACCTCTATAACTGGTATCAGCAACTGGATTTGCTGTAATTTCACCTTCATTATTCATATAAAATAACAATCCTTGATGCAAAGCACAGCAAATCTAAATTACAATTTGCAGGAAAACTGACATATCACAGATGGAAAAGAGCTGAGGGTAAATATGACCTATAGGAAAGGTTAAATTCAAATAAGCAAAATCAGTTTCCCCCAGATGAGGTACAGGATTGTAATTACAACCACAAATTTCCTCAACAAATTGCACAGCTTCATGAATCATGGCCATGCTAACCTTCAATATTGTTCAAGAAAAATTCAGTTTGTTAGCTGTAAGAAATCAATAATACGTAAATACCTTATAATTAAAGCGAAGCAGAGAATACATCAGTTAAAAGATCTCACCTTGTAGCCAAATCGATGCACCACTGAAGAAAAAAAACAGCCTCATGCATTATGTATCCACCAAGCATGCAACCCAAATGGCATTAAATCATTGTGCTCAACACCTACTAAATGTCACCTTTTCCTTGGTGGAAACAAAATTAATTTGAATTGTCCTCGGTCCCATTGGGAAAACAGCCCGGCTGACGACATGGCATGTCATTCCATTAACATTAAATGATAGGACCAAATTTTGACCGCCTAATTCATGTTTATTTCATTCTGTAGATAGATGTGATTTAGCATGATCCCCAGTGATCCGAATGTAAAATGTAAATTGCGGCATATATTATATGGATAACAGGACATATTTCAGAAGTACTGAGGAACATGGCTCACAAGGGCACAGTTTACTAGATGTGTCTTACCATGTCACTAAGCAGGTTACGTCAATAGTAGGCCCTATGTAACGACAGTAACTGTATTTTTGGCAATAAACATGCTTTCAAAGCTTGTAAACTGTCATGTACAGTGTAGATGTAGCTTTCAGTAATATTGAAGTCAGGATGCATGTACTGTAAGTATGTACAATGTAGAGGTCGTACCCTCTTAAACAACCAGCAGTCCAATGTAAACCTGCCAAGCAGCCGGACACAAACATTTGGTGTTTTCTAATATTTGCTAGGTGAAAATTAACATCTCAAGAAAGAGTATTTTAATTGCTATACTCGTATGTATATCCTATTTTGATCTCAGAAAAGATTATGATAGCTTAGGAAAAACAAAACTGTGAAGAAAAGAGAGAGGGGTCAATTTGGTTCAAATGGGCATATCAGTTTCAATGCTTACAAATACTCGCTATGTCATTTCTACGAGAAGTTTTTTTGGTAAAGAAATAGGATGTTTACTTTTCAAAACCTGTCATATATCCCGATTACATATTTGGGCTTGAGACAAGAGTCAATTTTCACCCCAAAAGAACACTGATTCTTACAGTAGCACAGGGTTCCAGCCAGCGCCCGTTTTTCTGTCATTTGACGGAATTTCGCCGCTCATGACGGCCAAAAATTTATAATAAATCTGACGTATTTGTCGGACAAAAATCCATGAGTGTACAGCCTGCAAACTGTTAACATATGGGCAGAGTTT